GTCAACGCCTGGATATAAGAGGACGCTCCGCATGTGTACAGTAACCTGCGGGTGAACTCTGTGCGAGGAAGAAAAACTGCCTTTGATGTAAAAAATTCAACATACTAACAGTTAGCGTAGTCAGAAACTTTGTAAAGTATAACCTACTTTAAAAGACCTTAAGTTAAGGTTGTTTCTACTTTGATAATGCAAAGATTTTATGACTTAAAAGGTCATGGTAGAGGTTTAATGCCCCCAAAATGCAATGTTTCCCCATCTTTTAGGCTCATGATTCTTAAAATAAAGCAGTCTTTTTGTGGCATATTTTACACCAAAGTGTACATATAGTTTAAACCAAAACAAACATAAAGAACAGTCGTTTTTTGGTCATTTGTTGTGGCCTAGAGGGACATTGATATCAGGTTAAACCAGGGGAGTCAAACTCATTTTCATCTCGGGCCACATCAGCATTATGGTTGCACTCAAAGGGCCGGTTGTAACTTTAAGACTATATCAAAATACATATAAAAATATTTAATATATATACAATAATGTATTATATTACATTATTGCCTCTGCATTGGATTATTATGGGATAGGGTAATAAGTTCATCATTAACTACGTCTGAAAGCAGAAGACTAGGGCAAATAATTGCAAGTCTCTTCTGTGAGAATGTCACAAAATGATTTAAAAAGAAAATCCAAATTCTGGAAAAACAAAGAAAGAAAAGTGAAAATTTGAGGGGAAAAAAGTGAAATTGTATGGGGGGGGGAAGTAACATTAAAATAAAAATCTAAATCTAAGATAAAAATCATATTTTGAAGAAAAAAAGTCAAATTATGAGAAAAAAAAAGCATATTTTGAAGAAAAAAAGTCAAATTCTGAGAAAAAGTCAAATTTCAAATGCATTGTGGGAAATGTAGTTTATGGGCAACATGCTTCTGTAAAGTAGCATGTAACCGTATAATAAACATATTATATTCTTTCCAAGCTCTTTCCACAGAAAATGAAGTCGCGGGCCCGATTTGGCCCCCGGGCCTTGAGTTTGACACCCCTGGGTTAAACCATCTCAAACATCTGCATGTCAAATATCCTTATCCTAAGCAAACATTTAGTCACACGAAAGTGTTTTTAAATGTGCATAAGTTAAATATTTAAAGAGTGTTAAAGCATGTATCTAAATGTGAACTTCATAATGGAGAGGTTGGGACTGCACATCTGGACTGATTCGTTTGTTTTTTTATATAATGTTGGTAGGGTCAAGTTACAGCTTTCTCATACAAACATGAATCCAAAAGTCACCGTTGGCCTCCTTATAGAAATACATAGCACACAGCAGTAGTTTAATCTCATGTATATGCTTTGAGAAAATCACATTATTGATACCTTTACTTTTCTTGACATCTCATTGAATGTGAAGCATGTTTGAATCACAGGAACCCCAAAGGAGAGGGTGAGCCTGATGAAATAAAAATAGCTAAAAGTGACGTTTCCTCTGCAGGAATGCCTGTTTTATTCTGTCACATTGTGCAACGCCTTGTAACTTTGTATCACCCTGCAGAGAGCGAAACATAATTTAGATACATGCTTTTAGAGAGCTCCACACACTTCAACAGACTGAAGTGTCTGTGTCATGCTGCCCTCTAGCTTTCAGAGAAGGACTGTCCTGTGTTTCATAGAAGGAAATATGAGGAAAACGGACATACTTGCAACCGATGCATGACCAAGTGAAGCGATGACAAAGACACCATTTTCTACGTTTCTTTTCCCCCATAAATGTGTGATTCTTGTCTCAGAGATTTCAGATATTCTTTCCCCTCACAAATCTATGACTTTATAAACTTAAAGCGAATTCAACTTTTTTTCTAGTAAGCCTGCTTTAACCCTCCTGTTGTCTTCGGGTCAAATCTGACCGATTTACTACTTTCATCAATCATAACTTTTTTGTTTTACATTTGATTGCATGAAGGCTTCATGATATCCTTCACAGTAGACATTTGAACATATTAAATTGCTGATCACCACTTTCATTGAAGTTTGGATGATTTAGTCAACTTTGTAACACCCATGGTGTTCCCGGTCAACAAAGACAATAGGAGGGTTAATTATGGAATGCCATTTAAGCCAAAATTAAATAAATACATAAATAATTAAATAAATACATATATATATAAATATGCTCCTGAAATAAATTCTGAAATAAATAAATGAGGCAATAAATATGTATACATGTACATTTAAAGACACATGTATTTATTTCAAGAGACTTGTATTTCATAATGACACATTTCCATTCCTTATCTGCAAATGAACGGGGCGTGGTTAGCTCACAGATCCAGACCAAAGCAACAGCACCACACTCCAGTACTCTTAAGTGGTTTGCAAGCTGCCAATAAACCAACCCGGTTCAAGAACCATTCTTGTGCTTTTCTGGTGCTTAACTGGTTCTTCTCTGGTTCTGAGTCCAGAGCCAGTTCTCTGGTTCTTCCTGTTTCAGCCGCAGCGGAGCCGGCTCTAAACACCGAAAACCGGTTCTTAGCTGACCCCACTTGGCTGCCCGGCAAGAACCAAGAACCACGCTCACTCATGATCCACCAGCATGATCCACCAGCATGGACGTCCATGGTGGTGGACCATGCTGGTGACCAAAACACAACACACAGTATGCTGGTCCATGCTGGTTTTTTCAGCAGGAACGCAACCACACACTTGTAAAAAAACAACACACTTTATAAAGTCAGGCAACACTATAACCAGGCTTCGTGTGATTCTGTTTATGTGTACCTTACTTTGACCATCCGTTCACTGTCATTGATCATTGTGGAGAGCAGGCAGAAGTTTTGTTTTGTATTATAGCAGCTATCAGATGGAATCAATACATGGGCTGCACAGGTTGTGCTGTCGGACTATCACAAGTAGAATCATAATGAAAAGGTCAAATGTGCGTGTAGAAAACGGCTTGTGCCTCAATAGGATAGCAACAAGTAGTCAAGATAGTGAGATTAGCTTCGGTTGCTGTTGCATAACTGTGGTCAACTCAGCCGTCTCTCGCGTTCGCTTGGTCAAATCAGCAGCTATTCATTTTTGAGTGCGCAATGAATAGCGCCTTTATGGTAATCGCTGTACAAGAGTGAAATAATGCATGTTTTGTTCTGCTTTATTTGCAATACAAGTCATTTGTTCCATACATTCTTAATAAAACTGACACTGTTTGACTCAGTCCTAGTTTGACTCCTACAATAAAATGAAGTTTTTACTGTGTATTGTTTGGGTAATACTCTCTCAAAGCCCCCTCCTGAGAACAAAATCATGCCACTTCTGCTTCCGCCTTATTTCCATTTAGTTGCCTTATTTTTATTCAGTAGTCCTTCTCCTTTTTCTTCCTCTTCTCAAGTAGTCAGTGTGGTGCTGTTGCTTTGGTCTGGGTCTCTGGATCTGTGAGCTAACCACGCCCCCCTCCAGTATAAGGAATGGAAATGAGTCATTATGAAATAAAAGTCCCATGAAATAAATAAATGTGTACATGTATACATATTTATTGCCTCATTTATTTATTTCAGAATTTATTTCATAGGCATATATATATATATATATATATATATGTATTTATTTAATTATTTAATTTTGGCTTAAATGGCATTCCATATATTCAGTATGTAGTGTCTCTACTTTAAAGAGTCCTCTCCTGCTGATGTTCAGGTGTTTATCAGTATGTAGTGTCTCTACTTTAAAGAGTCCTCTCCTGCTGATGTTCAGGTGTATATCAGTATGTAGTGTCTCTACTTTAAAGAGTCCTCTCCTGCTGATGTTCAGGTGTATATCAGTATGTAGTGTCTCTACTTTAAAGAGTCCTCTCCTGCTGATGTTCAGGTGTATATCAGTATGTAGTGTCTCTACTTTAAAGAGTCCTCTCCTGCTGATGTTCAGGTGTATATCAGTATGTAGTGTCTCTACTTTAAAGAGTCCTCTCCTGCTGATGTTCAGGTGTATATCAGTATGTAGTGTCTCTACTTTAAAGAGTCCTCTCCTGCTGATGCTCAGGTGTATATCGGTATGTAGTGTCTCTACTTTAAAGAGTCCTCTCCTGCTGATGTTCAGGTGTATATCAGTATGTAGTGTCTCTACTTTAAAGAGTCCTCTCCTGCTGATGCTCAGGTGTATATCGGTATGTAGTGTCTCTACTTTAAAGAGTCCTCTCCTGCTGATGCTCAGGTGTATATCGGTATGTAGTGTCTCTACTTTAAAGAGTCCTCTCCCGCTGATGTTCAGGTGTATAGAGCTGTCCTGCCCCTTAGCCTAACAAGTACAATGTGTTGGAGCGCTAGCCAAGAGGAGCGTGAGTGTTTCATAGTGATGTGACTATGTTCTGGAAGTAAAGGAGTCCAATGTATTTGGGAACCAGGAACATAGCATGTATTTATATCCCATAGGGCAAACATGAGAGAATCTGATGGATAAAGTCAGATGTTATGCACTTGAGGACATTTTAGTCCTTAAAGGTCTTACTCTGTGTATTTGGGCTACACACTATATACACACTGATATTTAGAAATAAATAAATGTGCTATATGCCTTAAAACATAATTTAAGATCTAATTTGATTCCGAGGCTCAGGGTTAATTTAGTAAATGCATGTTACTGACTCTGATTTCGTGTCCTGTAGGAGTGAAACCAGCGACATTCTTCGAGTGGGAGAAGATTGACTGAGGAAGTTCGGAGGGGGGCGGCGATCGGGAAACCCCGAGAAAAACTGCTGACTGTGGAGGAAATGCTTCAGGTGGCTGGAAAATAACCTGAAGACGACAACATTTCATACCGTCCTGTCTGGGATCAATGACAGAAATAATGACATTAAATTATACGTAATGAAATCTATTAGGTACTGCAGTTTACCCGTTACAGCTTTTAGTTTTCGTTCAACTTCCAATCAATCTAAAGCACTGAAAAACTAAGTTTCCTGACGTGCCAACATTAAAGACAATTCTCTATTAGATGCTATACATATTCAACTCCACTCTAATGTTTGTATTTTAAAATACATACATTTTGGTTCGGTGAGAGAGTGATCGTTCAAATGTTTATTTCAGGGTGTCTTTGCGCTAAAGGGCCCCAATTATGATTTTTGTTGCTTACATAATACTGGACTCATTTCAAAAACTGTTTCCCCAATAGACATGGGACACTGTTCAGGAAAAACACTGAAGTTTCTCTTTAGAAGAGTAATGACTGCTTGGGGACCAAATTATGTTTTGAAAATGTTTGCACTGAAACAGATCTTTTATACATAAATCATGATTTATTTCCTTCCCGTCTTGAAGGAGCATTTCTTTCCGTTGCATTTTAAATATTTAGGTCTACGGACATTTTGTAAAAGAAAACCCTAAATACAGATTCTATAAATTCTGTCCACTGATCTAAAAGATGACATGTTATTGAACAAAAATAATCCAAGTTTGACCAATGGATTAAAAAAAAACTGATGTTTTACCAGCAGTTCTGTCACATTTGAATATTAAGGACATTTTAAAAGCAGAAATATACTAATAATACAAGATACTCTAAAATAAAGTTTTGATATTTGGCAAAGAAAACAGATTTAATGAAAGTTTTATTTATGGCAAAGATAAAAGCTTGATAATCGCCGTCTCGTTGACCCCGTCGTGGCGAACGTTATCCGTCTCGTTTATCCCGTCGTGGCGAACGTTCTCCGTCTCGTTTATCCCGTCGTGGCGAACGTTCTCCGTCTTGTTGACCCCGTCGTGGCGAACGTTCTCCGTCTCGTTGACCCCGTCGTGGCGAACGTTCTCCGTCTCGTTGACCCCGTCGTGGCGAACGTTATCCGTCTCGTTGACCCCGTCGTGGCGAACGTTATCCGTCTCGTTGACCACGTCGTGGCGAACGTTATCCGTCTCGTTGACCCCCTCGTGGCGAACGTTATCCGTCTCGTTGACCCAGTCGTGGCGAAAGTTATCCGTCTCGTTGACCCAGTCGTGGCGAACGTTATCCGTCTCGTTGACCCCGTCGTAGCGAACGTTATCCGTCTCGTTGACCCCGTCGTAGCGAACGTTATCCGTCTGGTTGACCCCGTCGTGGCGAACGTTATCCGTCTCGTTGACCCAGTCGTGGCGAACGTTATCCGTCTCGTTGACCCAGTCGTGGCGAACGTTATCCGTCTCGTTGATCCCGTTGTGGCGAACGTTATCCGTCTCGTTGACCAAGTCGTGGCGAACGTTATCCGTCTCGTTGACCAAGTCGTGGCGAACGTTATCCGTCTCGTTGACCAAGTCGTGGCGAACGTTATCCGTCTCGTTGACCAAGTCGTGGCGAACGTTATCCGTCTCGTTGACCAAGTCGTGGCGAACGTTATCCGTCTCGTTAACCCCGTCGTATTTAACGTTTTCCGTTTCGTTGACCACGTCGTGGCGAACGTTATCCGTCTTGTTGACCCCGTCGTATTTAACGTTTTCCGTTTCGTTGACCCCGTCGTATTTAACGTTATCCGTCTCGTTGACCCCGTCGTGGCGAACGTTATCTGTCTCGTTGACCCCGTCGTGGCGAACGTTATCCGTCTCGTTGACCCCGTCGTGGCGAACGTTATCCGTCTCGTTGACCCCGTCGTGGCGAACGTTCTCCGTCTCGTTGACCCTGTCGTGGCGAACGTTATCCGTCTCGTTGACCCCGTCGTGGCGAACTTTCTGGTGACGTGACGCCTCAGCTTCCACTTCGTTGGTCTCCAGTTGAACTGAAACAAATACCTTTCATTAAAAACGTTACAGAAATGTAATTCATTTTAGCTTCTCAAGACTCTGATCCTGTATTTTTTTTTTTATGAAAAAAGGCCATTTCATGGTGACGTCTGTAGTCAACAGATTATAAAAGACTACAATTACCACGGCACCTTGCTCTAAAAGTCTAAAGTGACAGATGGGCAACCTTTTTTGAACCGCTCAATTACCCTTTAAGTTATCAAGTTATACAAGCCTTAACAAAACAGCTTTTGGTAATCTGTTGTAGTTTAATTTTAAATAAATCATTTTGAAAATGTTTATAAAGTTACTAAAACTGTGAGGTAAATTAAGCTAGGTGGCAATATTTCCCTTTATACTTGTACTCTATTGCAATTGTTTTTAAAATGGCAAAGTACCTCAAAAGTGTTTTTAATATAGCATCTGTTGACTTTATCTTATCCCATGAAGATCGGTAAAAGAGAAAAGACATGACTCACCTTCGCCAGCGTCTCGCTCCAACATGGACTCCATCGACCGGAAAAGTTTAAAGGCTTTCTTTAAGGAGATCTCATTGGGAGACAGATCTGTAGGACACAGTATAATTAAAGGTTAGTGTCAGACAGAGATACTTTTTTAAAGATAGCTGCAGATTTTATTGCTCCACCTCTCACTACTCTTTTTAACCTCTCCCTCTGCACCAATTCCAAAATTGTGGAAGTCAGCTTATGTCCTGCCTTTGCTAAAAGGAGGGGAGGCCACCTTATTAAATAACTATAGGCCAATCTCTAAGTTGTCAGTTCTGGCTAAGGTTCTTGAACGCTTAGTGAGTGAACAGGTAAAGGAGTTTTTATGTACAAATTACATCCTGTCTAAACATCAGTCAGGCTTCAGAAAGCAACACAGCACCATCACTGCCACAGTGAAAGTGGTGAATGATGTGGCGAGTATTTTAGATAATAAGCAGAGTTGTGCAGCTCTATTTGTTGACCTTTCAAAAGCGTTTTGACACCGTCGATCATCACATTTTAAAGCAGAGGCTAGCCAGTATAGGCATGTCCAGCCATGCAGTGGGGTGGTTTGTAAACTACCTCTCTGAAAGGTCCCAATGTGTTCATTTTGATGGGCTGTCTTCTGAGTGGTTGAACATTGCAAATGGTGTTCCCCAAGGCTCTGTTTTAGGTCCACTTTTATTCTCCATATCAACAGTTTAGGTGAAAATGCGGATGAAGCTACTTTACATTTTTATGCGGATGATACCGTGATGTACTGTGCAGGTCCCTCCATTAAGGAGGCTGGTGTTAAATTACAGGCTGTTTTTAACATTATTCAGACTAAGCTCTCTGAGCTTAAGCTTCTTTTAAATGTTGAGAAAACCAAGGTAATGCTCTTTTCTAAAGCTAAAAAGACACCAGAGCCTGTTTTAGATATTGTAACTACGCAAGGAATAAAACTTGAAGTGGTTACCTGTTACAAATACTTTGGTATCTCGCTTGATGATTGTCTCACTTTTAAACTTCATGTCAATAACCTGCTTAAAAAGCTGAGGGTTAGGCTAGGTTTCTTTTACAGGAACAAGTCCTGTTTCTCACTTGAAGCCAGGAAAAGGCTAGTCACTGACATTTTTACCTGTGCTGGACTATGGTGATTTGATCTATATGAATGCACCTGCATTCTGCATTCTAACTGGTCAAGTTAGATGCTGCGTATCACAGCGCACTAAGATTTGTGACAAACTGTAAAGCATTAACCCATCACTGTACCCTGTATGCTAGGACTGGTTTGCTTTCACTAACTGTACGGAGGCTCAGTCACTGGTACATTTTTATATACAAAGCCATGTTAGGGAAACTTCCATCTTACATCTGCTCCCTGATCTGACGGAAAATTGTAAGTGGCTACTGCCTGAGATCGAATGCTGTGATTTTATTAAATGTGCCAACTGCTAGGACTGTCTTAGGGAAGACAGCTTTTAGATGCGCAGCTCCTCTGTCTTGGAATAGTCTGCAAATTAAATGGAAACTGAACAATCTGGTGCCACTAAATGTTTTTAAAGCTCGGTTGGATGCTACTCAATCGGAAGCTGTTGGTACCTGTTTATGTGGATAATTATGTAAATGATGCTGTATGATGTCCTTTTGTTGTTCTATTTATGTTTCATGTGGAACTACTTGAGCAGGTCTCCGTTGAAAAAGAGATCAATGATCTCAATGGGATTTATCTGTATAAATAAAGGTTTGAAATTAAATGAAATGAGAGAAGAAACACTGCATAAAATCAAATGTTTTCAACTCTCAGTCTCCTCTGCAGCTTATATTCACCAGCTGGAAACCAGAGACTGTGGACAGGAAACACGCTGTTAAATCAAACATTATTCCTTCATCTTCAACACAATTATCAAACAGGTAAATACCTCTGGCCAGACAAACAGTCAGCACGCAGACGAGCATCCAAACAGCTGCCATCCCTGCAGTTTTCCAAGAGAGTGTTGCCTGAGCACCAGCCAGCTTTAAAGGAGGGAAACCTCCAGCAGCTGCTGCTGATCAGCACTGATTGTCTCTCTGCACAGAGGAAAACACAATTAATTATTAATTAATTAAGATTAAACTCTGAGAATGAGGAGTTTTTCATGGAGCTTGTTGTGCATTTATGATTAGTAGAGACCATCATTTTAAATTCACATTATGTTCAAATCAGTAAAGGAATATTGCATTTGAGAGGGTATAGCAACTACAACAAATAACAAGACCTCCCCCTGAAAAACAAAGGTCTGTATTAACATTTTATATTGTTGCCTAAAAACAATTTCACACAAGGTAAAAACTCTGAAAAAGTTATAGTAAATATCCACAATATCCCTCCTCTTCAGAAACAAAACATTTAATTACAACATTTTACAACCCCCTTCCCTAAACACATATGTTGTAGAAGAGAAGAAAACAGGGTGATTTTAAAGCCTTCTTCCTGTCATGCCTCACCTAAAATATCTGATTGCTCATGAAACTTGCATTTTTAAGACGTAACAATAATGATGCTACTAAGAAACTAAAACTAAAATGCATAAAAATAATTCTTTATGAATTATTTTTCATTTTTTATGGGTATTTTTGCCTGTTGAGACACTTAGTGGTATAAATGAAATGGTGTGATTGTAGTGTTCCACAGACATGAAGTGAAAAATACATTTCCTTTATCTTTCTTTCTTGGTCTCTACTGTAGTGGCTGGCTGAAAACAGGCCCCACTGGTGTGATAGCGACCACTTTGAACAATAGTTTTGACACGGTGCGATCCGTGCTGGAGGACATGTTGTAATTTAATTTTTTGTTTCTGAAGAGGAGGGATATTTTGGATATTTACTATAACTTTTTCAGAGTGTTTACCTTGTGTGAAATTGTTTTTAGGCAACAATATAACATGTTAATACAGATCTTTGTTTTTCAGGGGGAGGTCTTGTTATTTGTTGTAGTTGCTATACCCTCTCAAATGCAATATTCTTTTACTGATTTGAACATAATGTGAATTTAAAATGATGGTCTCTACTAATCATAAATGCACAACAAGCTCCATGAAAAACTCCTCATTCTCAGAGTTTAATTTCAGATAAATGGTGTTTTCTAGTGATGGCAGTTTGACACTGAAGCTTCGAACGGAGCTTCAACCCTGGACTTCCTATTCCATAGAAGCAGTGCTTCGAAGCTTGCTTCAAATCACGTGACATGTGACGTCCGAAGCAGCAACTGCTTCAAATCACGTGACATGTGACGTCCGAAGCAGCAACTGCTTCAAATCACGTGACATGTGACGTCCGAAGCCGCAACTGCTTCATTTCCTGAATTAATCACTTGACTGGTTCGCGGTCCATTCACGCGATTCAATGCACTGCCTCGTCTCGATTCTGACAGGTGACAGGTTGAAACAGTTTCAAATTTGAGCGCTTCAACACTTTATGACTGCTCGAAACCAGTGCTTCTCAAAGTGCGGTCCACGGACCACTGGTGGTCCGTGAGCGCCCCCTAGTGGTCCGTGAGTATATTGGTACAATTTCACATTTGAAATTAATTAATTAAAGTTTTCCGCACTCTCGCGTGTATATTTCCGCAATGGAGCGAGCTTAAGTTTAACTATCAATTGCATCATATAGCCCAGCGCAACACCTTCATCACACATGTTGCCACTTCTTTGTAGCCATTGCAGGCGATTTGTAATCTGTTCTAGAAAAACGATGTGTTTTTGGATATTTGTGGAGTTAGGTGGTCCGCGAGTGTTTTTGTATTGGTTGAGTGGTCCTTGGTATGAAAAAGTTTGAGAAACACCGCTCTAAACAATGCACAATGTGTGGGTTGTTGTCGTAGTTTGCGTTGTTGCTGTTGAGTTGTTGTTGGTATTGCATTTTAATTGTAGTATCATTATAGAGCAAGCCAGGAAGAAAGATAGGTCGTTCTGGCTCGGGAACAAAAAGACAATTATCAGTAATATAAAAACAGTTCAATATTTTAAGGAATGGATAGCCCAGTCGGTAGAGCCGGGGGCCCGAATGCGGCGATGTCCTCCGCGCAGCTGGTTCAAAGCCCGGAAAGGATGTATTTTAATCATTGCTTTTCAACTTTAATAACTGATAAAAGGCCCTCTCCTCCCAAAAAAATGTCCAGCACTCTCTAGTCTCTTCTCAATAACCCAATACACACAATTATCAATCTTTAATTGCAAATAGAACATGATATTCAGTCTTATTGTGTGTGTGCATCGAATAGTTTTCAAGGCAAAGATACGTTAAACCCACTGCAGCCTTGCACTTCGCCAGGAGAGGTCGCTGTAACTGAAGCTTCGAGAAATGAACCTATTTCCGACACAATTGTCCAAGTGGTTCGATGCTTCATTCAAAGCTTCATTTTGCCATCACTTGTGTTTCCCTCTGTGCAGAGAGACAATCAGTGCTGATCAGCAGCAGCTGCTGGAGGTTTCCCTCCTTTAAAGCTGGCTGGTGCTCAGGCAACACTCTCTTGGAAAACTGCAGGGATGGCAGCTGTTTGGATGCTCGTCTGCATGCTGACTGTTTGTCTGGCCAGAGGTATTTACCTGTTTGATAATTGTGTTGAAGATGAAGGAATAATGTTTGATTTAACAGCATGTTTCCTGTCCACAGTCTCTGGTTTTCCAGCTGGTGAATATAAGCTGCAGAGGAGACTGAGAGTTGTAAACATTTGATTTTATGCAGTGTTTCTTCTCTCTGTCTGACACTAACCTTTAATTATACTGTGTCCTACAGATCTGTCTCCCAATGAGATCTCCTTAAAGAAAGCCGTTAAACTTTTCCGGTCGATGGAGTCCATGTTGGAGCGAGACGCTGGCGAAGGCGAGTCATGTCTTTTCTCTTTTACCGATCTTCATGGGATAAGATAAAGTCAACAGATGCTATATTAAAAACACTTTTGAGGTACTTTGCCATTTTAAAAACAATTGTAATAGAGTACAGGTATAAAGGGAAATATTGCCACCTAACTTAATTTACCTCACAGTTTTAGTAACTTTAAAAACATTTTCAAAATGATTTATTTAAAATTAAACTGCAACAGATTACCAAAAGCTGTTTTGTTAAGGCTTGTTTAACTTGATAACTTAAAGGGTAATTGAGCGGTTCAAAAAAGGTTGCCCATCTCTGTCACTTTAGACTTTTAGAGGAAGGTGCCATGGTAATTGTAGTCTTTTATAATCTGTTGACTACAGACGTCACGATGAAATGGCCTTTTTTCATAAAAAAAAAATACAGGATCAGAGTCTTGAGAAGCTAAAATTAATTACATTTCTGTAACGTTTTTAATGAAAGGTATTTGTTTCAGTTCAACTGGAGACCAACGAAGTGGAAGCTGAGGCGTCACGTCACCAGAAAGTTCGCCACGACTGGATCAACGAGACGGATAACGTTCGCCACGACATGATCAACGAGACGGATAACGTTCACCACGACATGATCAACGAGACGGATAACGTTCGCCACGACATGATCAACGAGACGGAGAACGTTCGCCACGACGGGGTCAACGAGACGGAAAACGTTAAATACAACGGGGTCAACGAGACGGATAACGTTCGCCACGACGGGATCAACGAGACGGATAACGTTCGCCACGACGGGGTCAACGAGACGGATAACGTTCGCCACGACGGGGTCAACGAGACGGATAACGTTCGTCACGAGGGGTATAACGAGACGGAAAACGTTCGCTACGACGGGATAAACGAGACGGAAAACGTTCGCTACGACGGGGTCAACGAGACGGATAACGTTCGCCACGACGGGGTCAACGAGACGGATAACGTTCGCCACGACGGGGTCAACGAGACGGATAACGGTCGCCACGACGGGGTCAACGAGACGGATAACGTTCGTCACGACGGGTATAACGAGACGGAGAACGTTCGCCACGACGGGATAAACGAGACGGAAAACGTTCGCCACGACGGGGTCAACGAGACGGATGACGTTCGCCACGACGGGGTCAACGAGACGGATAACGTTCGCCACGACGGGGTCAACGAGACGGATAACGGTCGCCACGACGGGGTCAACGAGACGGAAAACGTTAAATACGACGCGGTCAACGAGACGGATAATGTTCGCCACGACGGGGTCAACGAGACGGATAACGTTCGCCACGACGGGATCAACGAGACGGATAACGTTCGCCACGACGGGGTCAACGAGACGGATAACGTTCGCCACGACGGGGTCAACGAGACGGATAACGTTCGCCACGACGGGTATAACGAGACAGATAAAGTTCGCTACGACGGGGTCAACGAGACGGATAACGTTCGCCACGACGGGGTCAACGAGACGGATAACGTTCGCCACGACTGGGTCAACGAGACGGATAACGTTCGCCACGACGGGGTCAACGAGACCGATAAAGTTCGCCACGATGGGGTCAACGAGACGGATAACGTTCGCCACGACGGGGTCAACGAGACGGATAACGTTCGCCACGACGGGGTCAACGAGACGGCGATCATCAAGCTTTTATCTTTGCCATAAAATAAAACTTTCATTAATAAATCTGTTTTTCTTTTCCAAATATCAAAACTTTATTTTTGGATTATCTTATATTATTAGTGTATTTCTGCTTCAAAATGTCCTTAATATTCAAATGTGTCAGAACTGCTGGTAAAACATCAGTTTTTTTTAATCCATTGGTCAAACTTGGATTATTTTTGTTCAATAACATGTCATCTTTTAGACCAGTGGACAGAACTTATAGAATCTGTATTTAGGGTTTTCTTTTACAAAATGTCCGTAGACCTAAATATTTAAAATGCAACGGAAAGAAATGCTCCTTCAAGACGGGAAGAAAATAAATCATGATTTATGTATAAAAGATCTGTTTCAGTGCAAACATTTTCAAAACATAATTTGGTCCCCAAGCAGTCATTACTCTTCTAAAGAGAAACTTCAGTGTTTTTCCTGAACAGTGTCCCATGTCTATTGGGGAAACAGTTTGTGAAATGAGTCCAGTATTATGTAAGCAACAAAAAGCATAATTGGGGCCCTTTAGCGCAAAGACACCCTGAAATAAACATTTGAACGGTAACTCTCACTCAATACCGAACAAAAATGTATGTATTTTAAAATACAAAACTTATATTAGAGTGGAGTTGAATATGTATAGCATCTAATAGAGAATGGTCTTTAATGTTGGCACGTCAGGAAACTTAGTTTTTCAGTGCTTTAGATTGATTGGAAGTTGAACGAAAACTAAAAGCTATAACGGGTAAACTGCAGTACCTAATAGCTTTCATTACGTATAATTTAATGTCATTATTTCTGTCATTGATCCCACACAGGACGGTATGAAATGTTGTCGTCTTCAGGTTGTTTTCCAGCCACCTGAAGCATTTCCTCCACAGTCAGAAGTTTTTCTCTGGGTTTCCCGATCGCCGCCCCCCTCCGAACTTCCTCAGTCAATCTTCTCCCACTCGAAGAATGTCGCTGGTTTCACTCCTGCAGGACACGAAATCAGAGTCAGTAACATGCATTTACTAAATTAACCCTGAGCCTCGGAATCAAATTAGATCTTAAATTATGTTTTAAGGCATATAGCACATTTATTTATTTATAAATATCAGTATATAGTGTGTAGCCCAAACACAGAGTAAGATTAAATTTACTTAAATGCATAACATCTGACTTTATCCATCAGATTCTCTAATTTTTGCCCTATGGGATAAATACATGCTGTTCCTGGTTCCCAAAAACATTGGACTCCTTTGTTTTCTTCCAGAACATAGTCACATCACTATGAAACACTCACGCTCCTATTGGCTAGCGCTCCAACACATTGTACTTGTTAGGCTAAGGGGCAGGACAGCTCTATACACCTGAACAGCAGGAAAGGACTCTTTAAATTAGAGACACTACATACCGATATACACCTGAACATCAGCAGGAGAGTACTCTTTAAAGTAGAGACACTACATACTGATATACACCTGAACATCAGCAGGAGAGGACTCTTTAAAGTAGAGACACTACATACTGATATACACCTGAACATCAGCAGGAGAGGACTCTTTAAAGTAGAGACACTACATACTGATATACACCTGAACATCAGCAGGAGAGGACTCTTTAAAGTAGAGATACTACATACTGATATACACCTGAACATCAGCAGGAGAGGACTCTTTAAAGTAGAGACACTACATACTGATATACACCTGAACATCAGCAGGAGAGGACTCTTTAAAGTAGAGACACTACATACTGATATACACCTGAACATCAGCAGGAGAGGACTCTTTAAAGTAGAGACACTACATACTGATATACACCTGAACATCAGCGGGAGAGGACTCTTTAAAGTAGAGACACTACATACTGATATACACCTGAACATCAGCGGGAGAGGACTCTTTAAAGTAGAGACACTACATACTGATATACACCTGAACATCAGCAGGAGAGGCCTCTTTAAAGTAGAGACACTACATACTGATATACACCTGAACATCAGCAGGAGAGGACTCTTTAAAGTAGAGACACTACATACTGATATACACCTGAACATCAGCAGGAGAGGACTCTTTAAAGTAGAGACACTACATACTGATATACACCTGAACATCAGCGGGAGAGGACTCTTTAAAGTAGAGAAACTACGTACCGATAAACACCTGAAAATGAGGAGAATAGGGCCACTTTAATCGAAGCACAGTGTCAATTAATTAAAGGGACAGCAGGAACCTCTCTTTTCCAGCAGAGCGTTGATGCTTTGTGATCCCGGCTTCGCAGCCGATGTTTTCAACGTTCCAGAGTCCATGTCCTCCAGCACGGATCGAACCGTGTCAAAACTATTGTTCAAAGTGGTCGCTATCACACATGGGGTCTGTTTTCAGCCAGCCACTACAGTAGAGACCAAGAAAGAAAGATAAAGGAAATGTATTTTTCACTTCATGTCTGTGGAACACTACAATCACACCATTTCATTTATACCACTAAGTGTCTCAACAGGCAAAAATACCCATAAAAAATGAAAAATAATTCATAAAGAATTATTTTTATGCATTTTAGTTTTAGTTTCTTAGTAGCATCATTATTGTTACATCTTAAAAATGCAAGTTTCATGAGCAATCAGATATTTTAGGTGAGGCATGACAGGAAGAAGGCTTTAAAATCACCCTGTTTTCTTCTCTTCTACAACATATGTGTTTAGGGAAGGGGGTTGTAAAATGTTGTTTCTGAAGAGGAGGGATATTGTGGATATTTACTATAACTTTTTCAGAGTGTTTACCTTGTGTGAAATTGTTTTTAGGCAACAATATAACATGTTAATACAGATCTTTGTTTTTCAGAGGGAGGTCTTGTTATTTATTGTAGTTGCTATTAGACGGATAACGTTCGCCACGACGGGATCAACGAGACGGATAATGCTCGCCACGACGAGGTCAACGAGAAGGATAACTTTCGCCACGACGGGATCAACGAGAAGGATAACTTTCGCCACGACGGGGTCAACGAGACGGCGATCATCGAGCTTTTATATTTGCCATAAAATAAAACTTTCATTAATAAATCTGTTTTCTTTTCCAAATATCCCAAAACTTTATTTTTAGAGTATCTTATACTATTATTAGTGTATTTCTGCTTCAAAATGTCCTTAATATTAAAATGTGATAGAACTGCTGGTAAAACATCAGTTTTTAAAATATTTTTTAATCAATTTTTGTATTTAAATATATAATTTAAATCATTTATTCAAGTTTGCAATGTTTTGAACATGCATCCACACAGTCACCTACTTTGTAATGTCCGATACCTCCCTGTAAGCGTCACGATATCGACCTCTCCCCCACAACCTCACATACGAGTACTCAATGTGCATCAAAGTGATCGTAGGAAGGCAGATATAGCAAAAGATGAATGTAAACGACACACGAGGCGATCGACATGTTTATTTCCTGGTAAGTCAACAATGTGTCCTCAATGTACACGCCCCGGACTCCTATGACGAAAATAATAGAATGTTGTCATGACTTACGTTATACTGCAACACCGGCTCCGCTGCGGCTGAAACAGGAAGAACCAGAGCTAAATCAGGCTGTAGCCCGCAACTGGCTCTGGACTCAGAACCAGAGAAGAACCAGTTAAGCACCAGAAAAGCACAAGAATGGTTCTTGAACCGGTTTGGTTTATTGGCAGCTTGCAAACCACTTAAGAGTACTGGAGTGTGGTGCTGTTGCTTTGGTCTGGATCTGTGAGCTAACCACGCCCCGTTAATTTGCATATAAGGAATGGAAATGTGTCATTATGAAATACAAGTCCCCTGAAATAAATACATGTGTCTTTATGAAATACAAGTCTCTTGAAATAAATAAATGTGTATTTAAATGTACATGTATACATATTTATTGCCTCATTTATTTCAGAATGTATTTCATAGGCATATTTATATATATTTATGTATTTATTTAATTATACACACAGAAAGATCGAAATACTGTTTCCCACAGTCCCGAGGTGTAAAAAACTCACACATTAAATGCAAGAACTACGGAGCCCTGGAGGGTTCATAGAGAGAAAAATAAATAAAACGTGGCCACGTTTTACTTTCTCGTGCGCACGCTTTAGTAACTCGTGCGCACGAGTTACTAAAGCGTGCGCACGAGTTACTAAAGCGTGCGCACGAGTTACTAAAGCGTGCGCACGAGTTAATAAAGCGTGCGCACGAGTTACTAAAGCGTGCGCACGAGTTACTAAAGCGTGCGCACGAGTTAATAAAGCATGGCCTCGTTTTGTGTGTGTGTGTGTGTGTGGGGGGGGGGGGGGGCATTTGTTTATGATAGTATCGTTCGTTCCGGTGCACTCCGGCAGGACTATAGCACATCGAGATTAAGATTAAACACATTTCTTTCACTTGGGAATACACTTAACTATGGGGAACCAGATTTGTGTAAAGTACTGTTCGTGGTAATTTGAAAACAAATGCCGGTGGTGTCGGATACACACGAACACGCACACAGAGCGGAGCTGAGCACACACACACACATCATGCGCCCCGGTGACAGGACATCTCCTTCATAAAGCGAGGGGGAATACTCTGGTAGTTCGATGTGTGTATAGGTGTGTGTGGTTAAACGTAGCAGCCTCGATCTCTATTCAGCGGTTCTAATGAAGGGAAACGCAGTGAAGTAAACAGTAAAAGGCACAGCTCTTTGCAGCTGGTGCCGCTCTTCTCAGATTCTGCTGAGTTACACGTTACTGCCTCCAGTGCCCTGTACGACGAAGCCAGTTCAACAGACCCTGGACCTGAATATGTTCGATTTACCCGGCTTAACTGACCCTAACAAACGCGATGTCGATAAGCGGTCCTACGAAGCTGGTTATCAACTCAGTAAATCAACCAGGGTTTCTCTGTCCGGCTGAGAGCGCGTTCATGTGAAAGGGACGGGGTTAGCAACATTTGACCAATCACAAACATGGAGACGCGTGCTGACAGCGCAGCATCATACTTCATGAATGAATAGTGTAAATAGCCAATC